TCATTAGACAATTCTGCAATCAGCCAGGTGCTGTGGCTCATGCCTGTAATCCTAACTACTGAGGAGAAATAGGATCTGAAGATCGTGGTTCAAAGCCAGACCAGGCAGGAAAGTCCATGAGACTCCTATCTCCAATAAACTACTCAGAAAAAGCAAGACGTGGTGCTGTGTCTTAAGTGGTAGAGCACTAGCAGGCTCAGGGGCAGTGCCCGGACCAAATTTAAGCCCCAGGACTGGCAAAAAAATTTTTTTAAGTCTTCAGTCTTGATTTCCGTGTGACAATAGCATCTTTTTCACCAATTAAAGTCAGATGTGCTTGAAAAAAATTAATTAAGTAAAACCAGAAAAAGGAAAACAAGAAACCCAGAAAGTAATAATTCCAACTGTAGAGCTGTGCAGAGGAGTTTCCAGGGATGGCAGCAGAGAGAAATCCCAGGAAGACAACTGGACAGCAGTCCTTGGGGATGAGCCAGACAGAAGGCAAAGGAGGCTGTGCAGAGGAGTTTCCAGGGATGGCAGCAGAGAGAAATCCCAGGAAGACAACTGGACAGCAGTCCTTGGGGATGAGCCAGACAGAAGGCAAAGGAGGCCTAAAGGCAGGTCGTTGCCAAGGAAGAAAATGGAACAAATGCATTACTTAATGTGGTCAAACGGAAGTATATTGAGAGGTTATTAGGAAGAGTGGGGAAAACAGTAGTAGGGGCTTTAGAATGTTAAGCAAACTTAAGCAAATCCTAATTTGGAAAAAGTACAAAAGGAAGCTACTACATGGTTCAAAGCTCAGTGATAAGTAAGATTGTTATGATTGTGATAATAATAGGAATAGTGAATAGTGACTTAATAGTGTAACTATTAAGATTAGGGTGGGGAAAGAGAGGGGAGTCTAGGAGAGGTAAATCTTGGCTGGGAGGCATAGCTTAAGTGGTCAAGTGCCAACCATGAGCAAGAAAGTTAAGTGAGAGCATGAGGCTCTGAGTTCAAGCCCTGGCACTTGTAAAAAATAAAATAAAATACAAAGATAAATAGGGAGGTGAAATCTTCTTGTATCAAAGCAGGAAGTCTGAAATGTGTAAGAGCAGACACGTTAAGAAATATCAGGAAGCCACTCTTCTGACATTACATTATATGACTGGATTTGATTTGCTAAAAATGTTGCTAAGAACTTGTCACATGCTGAAGTTCATGAGAAATAGTCACCTCTCACTCTCTTGTTTTGAAATGTGGTTTAAGTATCAGAAGAGAATAGCCTCAAAAATGATTTGGGAAAAATGTTCCTCTTTCTAGAAGAATTTAAGGAGAGTTGTTATTGCTTCTATGTTTGTGAGAAACCAACATAAAATATTTTAATAATAGAATCTTTGTTGACATTGCCTAGCAGATCAAATATGAAACTAAAGGATAAAGCTTTCGGTACTAGATCACCAATTCACTGCATTTTAGATCTGGTCTCCTTAAACTTTAACTTGTCCCAATCACTCATTTTTACATGGGAGCCTTAGTCAACCTCCCCAGGTTGGTTTAATCTCAGATACCCACTACTCTGAATGTACATTCCAAGTTTTATTTCTTTCTTTCTTTCTTTCTTTTTTTTTTTTTGGGTCCGGTCGTGGGGCCTGAACTCTGGGCCTGGGCGCTGTCCCTCAGCTCTTCAGCTCAAGGCTAGCACTCTACCACTTGAGCCACAGCGCCACTTCTGGCTTTTTTCTTTTTGCTTATGTGGTGCTGAGGAATCGAACCTAGGGCCTCAGGCATGCAAGGCAAGTGCTCTACCACTGAGCCACCTTCCCGGCCCCCCAAGTTTTATTTCTTATGTATTAAATCTCTAAATACAAACTAGAATCTTTTCCTAAGAACTCCAGAATCTTTGGTTGATACAGTTCAGCAATATTTATTCATTAATGATGAGCAAAAATTTGAAACTGCATTTAAAGTAGATTAGAGAATTAAACAAATGAGTATAATGGAAAGGAACTTTTTTTGGTTTTGTTTTGTTTTTGGGTGCTGGTCTTGGGACTTGAACTCAGGGTCTGATGCTGTCCTTAAGCTTTTTTGCTTAAGGCTAGTGCTCTACCACTTGAGCCAGAGTTACACTTCTGGCATTTTTGATGGTTAATTGGAGATTAGAGTCTCAAAGACTTTCCTGCTCAGGCTGGCTTTGAACCACAGTCCTGAGTACCTAGGATTATAGGCATGAGCTACCAATGCCCGGCTTGGAAAGGAGTTTTTGTTTTGTTTTGTTTTTGCCAGTCCTGGGGCTGGAATTCGGGCCAACGCACTGTCCCTGAGCTTCTTTTGCTCAAGTCTAGCCACTCTACCATTTAAGCCACAGGGCCACTTCTGGCTTTTTCTATGTATGTGGTAATGAGGAATTGAACCCAGGGCTTCATGCATGTTAAGCAAGCACTCTACCACTAAGCCACATTCCCAGCCCTGGAAAATAATTTTTAAGCTGGGTGTGGTGGTGCATTTGGGTAATCTTAAACTGCTCAAGAGGCAGAGGACCAGCCTGGGCAAAACTATTGTTGAGACCCTATGTCAAAAGCAAAAGAGGATTGTATGCAATATAAATGGCACACCATTTGCCTACTAAGTACAAGGTCCTGAGTTCAATCCCAGTATTCTAAAAGAAAGACAAAATAAGAGGAAGAAAGGGGAGGAAGAAAGTCATTTTTTGTGTGTGCTGGTCCTGGGCTTGAACTCAGGGCCTAGACACTATCCTTTAGCTTTTTGGTTAAGACTAGTACTCTACCACTTGAACCACATCTCTATGTCCATTTTTCGGAGATTCATTAGTGATAAGAATCTCACAGATTTTCCTGCCCCAGCCGGCTTCAAACCATAACCCCAGATGTTAGCTTCCTGAGTAGTTAGTATTACAGGCATGAGTCACCAGTACTCTGCTAGTAACTTCTATTTTTAAAACAAACAAGCAATGTTTAAGCTCCAAAAATAAAAGGCTAAGATCTAGTAAGAACAAGTCTTGTTTCTTGAACTTGCTTATTGAATAGTGTTTCATCATTAAATCTGAAATTTGACAAATGATGGCATTTTGTTATTTGGCAAGGAGGAGGTTGCCTGTAATGAATCACACATAGATCTATCTTTCCATATCTACTTTCCTTCCCCCTCAAAAAAAAAAAAAAAAATTTCTACTTCTGGCCACTGGTGGCTTATGCCTTTAATCCTAGCTGCTCAGAAGGCTGCAATCTGAGGATCAAGGTTCAAAGCCAGCCTGGGCTGGAAAGTCTGTGAGATTCTTATCTCCATTTAATCCCAGAAAAGGCCAAGAAGTGGCACTGTGGCTCACGTGGTGGCCTTGAGCAAAAGGAGCTCAAGCCCAGAATTCAAGCCCCAGGACTCCCCCCTCCCCGCCCAAAAAAAGCATATTTTCAGAACTCTAAGCCTCTTTCTTCTTCTTTTGTGCCAGTACTGGGACTTGAACTCAGGCCTTTTTGCTCAAGGCTGGCCCTCTACCACTTAAGCCACAGTTCTACTTTTGGCTTTTTAGTGGTTAGTGGAGATAAGAGTCTCACACTCTTTCCTGCCCAAGCTGGCTTTGAACTAAGATTCTCAGATCTCAGCCTTTGCAATAACTAGGATAATTATAGGCATGAGCCACCATGCCTGGCTTCATCTACCTTTTATTTTCTTCCAAATATACATTTGCTATAGAGAGATAGATGTATGATAAGAGCAATGAGCCCCCCCCCCCCACATTTCCTTTTCACATGTTTGCTTCAGGTTGGGATTTTTTGTCACTTGTAATCAAAGAATTCCTCACTAATACAGCCCACTGTATTGGATGGCATACCATGACTGTTTCCTCATTCAAATTCCTGTTAGTCATGGCCTTTTTAAAAAAAAAAAATCTTTATTTTTAGAGACAGGGTCTTACTATATAGCCCAGGCTGGGCTTCAAATTCTTGATCCTCCAGTCACAGCCTCCTGAGTGCTGAGATTACAGACCTGTGCTACCATACCCGCCTTGTACAGTCCAAGCCATTGTGCTTCTTATGCACAGAACAACTAATATCTGAGAGACTGAAATAGATTCTACCCAAAGGTAGTTTACCAAAAAGAAATCAAGCCTGATGTAGAATGTACTTGCTGGTCTCTTCGTGAAAATAACTATTTATAACTTCTTGCACATATTTTGGGGAATTTCTCTGCTGTCTACCCAGTAGCACCTGTTGCATAGCCATGGGCTATTATTACTTGGTCTTTTTTTTTTTTTTTTGCCAGTCCTGAAGCTTGAACTCAGGGCCTGGGTACTGTCGCTGAACTTCTTTTACTCAAGGCTAGCGCTCTACTACTTGAATCACAGCACCAACTTCTGGCTTTTTGTTTATGTGGCACTGAGGAATTGAACTCAGGGCCTCATGCATGCAAGGCAAGCGCTCTACCACTGAGCCACCTTCCCAGCCCCATTACTTGATCTTTTGTGCTTGTTCTTTTTTGTTTTGTTGTGTGACAGTACTGGGGCTTGAACTCAAGACCTTGTACTCTCTCTTTTTTTTTTTTGGTCCGGTAGTGGGGCCTGAACTCTGGGCCTGGGCACTGTCCCTCAGCTCTTCAGCTCAAGGCTAGCGCTCTACCACTTGAGCCACAATGCCACTTCTGGCTTTTTTCTTTTTGCTTATGTAGTGCTGAGGAATCGAACCCAGGGCCTCATGCATGCAAGGCAAGTGCTCTACCACTGAGCCACCTTCCCAGCCTCTGGACCTTGCACTCTTGCTGGGCTTTTTTTTTTTACTCAAGGCTGGTGCCTTCCTAGTTGAGCCACTTGCAATGGTTCGTTTTGGTTTTTGAGAGAGGGTCTTATCTAAGATGACCTCAGTCTCTCAATCTTCCTACCTCAGCCTTCTTAGTGCTAGGATTATAGGCATGTACCACCAGGCCTGGCTTCTCAGAGTCTTAAAGAGTCATTACTGCTACTGTTCCCACTCAAGTCCTGGCTCATTTTGCTCTGTTGTGCTGTGTGGTCAGTGATGGTCACTCACCCTCTCTGGTACCTGTCGAGCTCATGAAGCACTGTGTGGTCACAATACTCAAACACCAGGTGAAGCCGCCGCCGCCTCCTGAACACTTCCAGGAGATTGACAAGGTTGGGATGCTTGAGTTGCTGAAAACACAGAAGCAAGGGACAATGTGAGTTGTGCCTGTTTTCTCCAACTGGGACCCAATGAATAAAAGCATTTTCCCTTGGGCGTTTCGGGCCTGGAGCTGCAGGAGGCAGGGGCCAGTGACCCCTGACTTTTCTGGATGCATCATTTGTCAGCAACTTTCAAGGAAAACCTGATTATAACCAAGAGGGTTTGTGAAAAGGAAGAACTAAGAAATGTCTAGAGAGGAAAGGAGAAGGAAGCACTCAGTGGTAGAGTGCTTGCCTTGCATGCATGAGGCCCTGGGTTCAATTCCCCAGCACCACATAAGCAAAAAGCAAAAAGCCGGAAGTGGCGCTGTGGCTCAAGTGGTAGAGCGCTAGCCTTGAGCTGAAGAGCTGAGGGACAGCGCCCAGGCCCAAGTTCAGGCCCCACGACTGGACCAAAAAAAATAAAATAAAATAAAATCTAGTCTTCAAAGCTGGATGACTCAAGTATCCCTTCCCACAGCGGTTCAGGGTCTGGATATCTCCATACTCTTCCTCCCCCCTCAAAGAGTAACTCATTCACACTTACTAAGTAATTACTATGTCATATTCCTGTGAAATCTTTATTTAGTAATGACTGTACAATTGCATCTTTTTAGGGTAGTACTAGAGTTTTATTTATTTATTTATTTATTTTGGGGGGTCCGGTCATGGGGCCTGAACTCTGGGCCTCGGCGCTGTCCCTCAGCTCTTCAGCTCAAGGCTAGCGCTCTACCACTTGAGCCACAGTGCCACTTCCACCTTTTTTCTTTTTGCTTATGTGGTGGTGAGGAACCCAGGGTCTCATGCAAGCGCTCTACCACTGAGCCACCTTCCCAACCCCACATACTAGAGTTTTAATTCACGGCGTTGTGCTTGTTAGGCAGGTACTCTACCCTTTGAGACTTGCCCCCAATCCTTTTTTGTTTTCAGTCACTTTTCAGATACAGTCTTGCAGCTTTTTCCCAGGACAAGCTCAAGATCCTCTTACCTGTGCTTCCTGCATAGCTGGAACTATAGGCATGAGCCACTTCACTTAGCTTCTACTTTTAAATTGGGTCCTGATAATTTTCATTTATTTATTTATTTATTTATTTTTCTGTCGTGGGGTTTGAACTCTGGGCCTGGGCGCTGTCCCTAAGCTCTTCAGCTCAAGGCTAGCACTCTACCACTTGAGCTACAGCACCACTTCTGGTTTTCTGGTGGTTTATTGGAGATGAGTTTCACGGACTTTCCTGCTCTAGCTGGCTTTGAATCCTGATCCTCAGATCTCAGCCTCCTGAGTAGCTAGGATTCCAGGTGTGAGCCACTGGCACCGGGCACTTTTTTTTTTTTTCTTTCCCAGCTGGCCTCTGATCTTCACCTCCCAAGTAGCTGGGGTTATAGGCATGAGCCTCTGTACCCAGCCCTTGTTCAATTAAGTGTTTAATATCCTCCAGTGTCAACAGACATCAACAGATAGAATAAATAGTGATAGCACCAAAAAAGAACCAAGATATTAGAGTCTCTGTTCTCCTGTTGACTCAAAGCTCTGTCATTGTCCCTCTGGCTCATGGGCCTTGTGCGTGACAGGCTTTTGAGAGTGAAGTATGAATGCATAGTTAAGATCAGTTTCTTAGGCTGAAGAAGTATTTTCAAGAGAACAAGGGAGGCATTCTTTTGCAGTGACTGCAAGTGTGAGTCTAGAAAAGGTGGGTGGCAAGTGAGGTGGCTTTGGTCAACATAAATCTTCTCTTTTAGCGTCGTGGCCTCTCTGTACATAAACCTATCAAAAATGGGGACTAGGCAGCTGGGCATGGTGGTGGTTCATACCTGTAATCCTAGTTACTTAGAAGTCAGAGCTTTAGGGATTGAAATTCAATGCCAGATCAACAGACGCCATTTCAACCAATGGCATGTGTTGATTACTCCAGCTTTGGGGGAAGCACAATGACTGGGTGCACTGATGCATTTGCCATCCCAGTGATGTAAGTGGAAGGATTGCAGTCCAGGACAACCTGGCCACGAAGTAAAGCCCCCATCCCTAAAATAACCAATCCAACAAGGGCTGGAGATGTGTGGTTCAAGTGGTAGAGCATGGGCTGGGAAGGTGGCTCAGTGGTAGAGTGCTTGCACTGCATGCATGAGGCCCTGGGTTCGATTCCTCAGCACCACATAAGCAGAAAAAAGCTGGAAGTGGTGCTGTAGCTCCAGTGGTAGAGCGCTAGCCTTGAGCTGAAGAGCTGAGGGATAGTGCCCAGGCCCAGAGTTCAGGCCCCATGACCTACCAAAAAAAAAAAATAATACAAAAAAAATCAAGTGGTAGAGCATGTGCCTGGCAAGCATTAAGCCCTGGATTCAATCCATAGTACATATCTCTATCTATCTATCTATCTATCTATCTATCTATCTATCTATCTATCTATCTAATAAAATAAAGGACTCGTATTATAAAAGGCAAAACATCTATAGGAAAGCTTCCTTTCTGTAGGGCATCTTGTTTCACTCACCTAGCAAACCACTACCAGTGATCGTATTATTGCTGTACAATTATGTGTCTGTGCACGCATGCATGCTTGCACATGCACACGTTATTGGAGATTAACTGGTTAATTGGAGATAAGAGTCTCGTGAACTTTCTTATTGGGCTGGCTCTGAACTATGATCCTCAGCCTTTTGAGTAGCTAGGATGATAGGTGTGAGCCATCAGTGTCCAGATGAAAAATCCAACTTCTTAAACTGCATGGTATGTGGTACATTTGTATATTGCTATGACAAAGACACAGAAGTTATTTTTTTCTGTAAAAATCTCTCTGTACTTTCAAGATGAGAAAACTCTGCTCCAAATATTATATAAAAAACATGTCAAATATTCCAAAGCCCATGCCTTAGTCTCTTTGTGTTTCTACACCAAAGTACCTTAGATTGAATAATCTATTAAGCTAGAAATTGATTCCTTTCAGTTCTGGAGACTGAGAAGCTCAAGAGCCAGGTCCCAGCAAAGGCGGTCCAGAAAGGCTCCTCTGTGTCTCACTGCTCTATGCTCACATAGTGGAAGGGAGAAGGGCAAGAGCATTTCCCTCAGCCTTGGCCTTTAATTTATTCTTTGTTTTTCTTTTGTTTTGTTTTGGTCATGTCAGAGACCAAATGCAGTGTCTTGCACATGCTAAGCATGTGCTCTGCCACCGAGCTACATCCTCAGCCCGAGTCCAGTCGTGAGGTGACAGAATCACCACGGCTATACCTCAATACTTCTCCATGGGTTTCAGATTCAACCTGAGGTTTTGGAAAGAGCACTGTCATTTGTCATACCTGGGTCTTATAACGGCGGCCACTTCAAGCTATAAAATGGCACATTCATGTTATCAGGCCTGGAAACTTTTGGCCTGAATGAACATTTACTGGACATAGTAAGAGGGAACGAACTGCTTTCTTAACCTCTGAATGGCATTGGTTTAGACAGCCAAAACAGAAATCTTTAGGAAAGTACTAGCAGGAAAATCATCATCCTTAGGCCCGACACATTTTCATACATTTGGTTCTTTCCATAGGATGTGATCTCAAGGTCAAGACTTCAAATCTTACAATCTTGTAAATTTCAAGTGCTTATTTTCATTTCTGGCCAACTTCATCTTTGCCCCTTCTTGTTATTAGAAGAGTTGGTATGTAGGGATGAACTGGAGGTAAGGATGATGGGGGTGGGGTGAGGGTGGGAGATGGGGGTATGCTATATATGCATGTGTGTGTGTGTGTGTGTGTGTGTGTGTGAGACAATGACTCTACCGTTTCTACAAGGAAGCTAACCATCATTGACAAGAGACGCAGGTTTGGGAGGCAGAAACTCCTGCCCCTGGTCCCGTGGATATGCAGGGCCTCTGAGATACTAGAGGAGTGGTCAGGTTGGCTGCAGCTTGAGCTGAAGATAATGCCATGAGCTATCACATGTGCTTGAGGGAGGCCAAGATAGAGCTGGAGTGAGACAAGGCTGTGGGCACAGGATGGGCAGAGACAGAGTAGCAGGTCCCCAGAGATAAGAGGAAGGCATGGAGCACGACACCACAGGTGTGTCTTACAAAGAGATGTGGCCAGTGGGGGCAGATCCTTCTGAGGGGGCAGGGAGGACATAGTCTTGAATGTAGGGTCACGTAACCACACTGGAGTGGTATCCATTCACCTTGGACCAGGAGGCTGGTCCACAAGACTGTGTGGATCCAGTATCTCAAACCACCTTCCTCACTCCCCATGGACTCCACTGGCCTTGTAGAAGTCAGACACCTCTGGTCTTCAGAGAAGTTGGTAATCGTACCCTCAGCTCCAATATAGGGAAGGCTTGCATTCATGAAGCTTCCCATTGTTTCTCTTTCAGTACAGAAGGGGATTTCTTTAGGGACATGCAAAGGAATCAAGACCAGAACCAAGTGACATGATGGATGGACCTCATAAAGCTCAGCCAGCATGGCAGTATGCAACCAAGAAATCTTTGTTATTTTTTTGGTACAGGAACTTGAACTCGGCCTGGGTACTATTCCTTAGCATTTTCACTTAAGGCCCATGTGCTCTACCACTTGAGCTCTCCTCCCAGCTCTCTGCTGGTTAATTAGAGATAAGAAAGTCTCAACAGATTATCCTTTGAGCCACAATCCTCAGATCTCAACCTCCTGAGATTACATATATGAGGCACTTGTGTCTGGCCAAGCATCGAAGAAATCTTGACAGACAAACTACCACATACTCTGCAAGACCATCTGTCTCATCATTTATAATCTCTTCATCTTTATGAGCCAGGGAGGTCAAGCCTCTGGCCTAGTCTCACTTCCCAACCCTCTGGTTTATACTGGGCTAGTCTTGAAGGTCTCTGAGTCCCTACCAGGCCACCATTACTGGCCTTCCATTCCATTTGATCTAGGAGCCTGGACTGGGCAGAGTCAAAGTTAGTTATTCACGTATAAAGTTTCCACTCTTGGCTGCTATTTCATTTTGGTCTCTGAGTTTTCTCTCTGAGTTTTGAGTGTTGA